CGTATTTTCGGTTTGATTTGGTGGAATGGCAACGATCTCGTTGGCCGCAATGGTATTACATCATATGATCATTCATGGCGATTTGAAGCCGCAAATCCCGACCGCCTCGGCACGCAGGCACGAATTCTTGGCAACGTTAAACTGTTGGCCGAATGCAAGGAGGCGTCGGACGAACTTTGCTGTATTTGTGGAATTTCATCATATTTATATGAGCTACCGAATTATGTCGACGACTTTTGGAAGGAGATCATCGAAATCATTGAAGGCCTCGGAATCCACAGATTCCAGCCGGACAATCTCATCTTCCAATCGGATCGTGTAGACAACTGGCACCTCAGAAAAACCCAGGAGAACATCGATCGTTTCGTTAGCTACGTCACCTCGATTGTCAAGTTGTCCTACCACGCGAACGTCGTCGAAGCTTCCCGAGAGGGAATTGCCGCATTGAATCGGGTTAGAAGATTTCGCCACAACTGGGACACCGACGAGACCGTCAAGGTTCCTGATTCTTGTGTGCAACTTCTCAATGAATTTGCTGCGCAGCGAATGAAGCGTTTTCAACACACTGCGGGCCAGAGCAGACAATTTACAGTCGAAGAAGTACAAGCGTTCAGTCCTTTTGAGTCGAATGATATTTCGGTCGAGGAGCTGAAAGCCTCCGTTAAACTGGAAGGCGAAGACCCGCAAGACGTGTTGCAGTTCATCAACCTTGTCCCCACCGTCGAGCTTCCGGAGGAGCAAACTGCACTCAACAAACCAGTAGATGATCAGACTACAGCCGGCGTAAATGCCGAGCCGAAAGTTGAGACCATCGATGCAGATGTGGAGATGACGGACAGCTATACTGGTGGGACTGATGATGTGCCCGGGCCAGATACCAATCCAGCAGGCGTGAATGCCTTGCCAACCGCGCCCGAGCCCGATCAACACATGGCAAAGATTGAAGCCAATGTACTCGAAGTTTTGGCGGATGAGCCGATGGCCACCGAGGAAAGCAATCAACCCGTTGCAGGTACATCGTCGTCTTCAGCTTCGAAGCCACCATTGCCACGATTACGAGGCAAAGGACAGGGGCAGGGTACTCCTGCAGCTGCTCCCGTAACGGGGAGCTTCTTGGAGCCTGACGACGACGTCGATCTCAACTTGAAATATTCTGGAAAAGGGAAGGGTGCACTCGTTCGCGAGATCAAGCCCAACCCCGAGTACAAGAATATGAAAGTTGAAATCGAAGAAGTCCTGAACAAGTATCCTTATCCGGATCACCTGTTGAAGGCCATCGGCAATGGCGGAATTCAGCTTCTTGAAGAAGAACTAGGCCGCAACGCCAAACAATATACCTTGCATCATGTCACCGGCCATCGATACTACTACGAGTATGAGGACAACCATGGCATTCCATGGGAATGGTGTTGCTCTTGGCCGTACCACGTTCGCCGTGGCATTTCAGGTTTGTTGCGAGGACATGTTCGAGACATTGGAATTTATGACCCGGCGTGCTATTTGCCAGTTTACAAATTGTTACAATTGGCTCAAGCGAAATTTCCGGACTACGCTGATTCAATTAATTTATTTGAACTTATTTCCATGGCTATATACGACGAAAAGGACAGAATTGAGTTCCTTTGTGTTTGCGATTCCCGCGTGAATGAGGCCCTTGAACTTTGGGTAGCGCCTGTGAAGGTGAGATGTGGCCAAGGACATACAGACGACGTTCTCGAGACAAGGTCAAACGAAGTTTTGGCGAAGACTATCTACTGCCGTCCTGACCACATGCATCGGTATAACCGTCGCTTCACCGCACACGGCAATAGAGACATTCCACCACGCCTCTATCACCGGACGCATGAAGATGCCGCGCGATGTATAATTGCGAATGGCCTCCTCCCTGGAGGAGGTACCGGTGGGCCGAAAAGCAAAGGAAATTCGTATTTTTCAATACTACCTCTGGGAGACCAGAAGGCGATGTCGGGCGTGCGCGCGAATCGACCCGTTGAGCTTTGCTTCTCTACGGCCGAAATCATTGATGCAGGCGTTGACCTATTTTTGACAAATTCGAATGCAATGATCACAAGTCATCATGTTCCCAACACGTGTATCCTCTTCGCCACACGTGCCCGTGTAAATGCGGAGCCAGAAGTGTTCTACTCAAGGCCTCAGGCTATTGACCCGGCGAATATGGACGTTGGGACACCGCAGGATGACGTTACATTGATTCCAGGTGATATTGACGAAGTGAAACAACAACAAGATACAATTGAAGCCACACCTGAAGAGCGAACAGCCGCGAGCAGTGCAGTCAAGAAGGAGTCTATGGAGGCGAACAAGGAGACGGCTGTACCGCAGATCGAGAGTGGATATTTTCTCCACCTTCGAACGTTTAGTTGTGACAAATGCACCACGCTTTCCTTAGCCGGAATGGCGTCTTGTCACAGGTGTGGAGCAGTGTTTCAAGGCAATGTCACAGATGGTCCTGTTTCCAAATTTATGAGGTTGCAGATGAGGCGTGCGAAGGCCGTGCAACAGCAGGGGGGTATTCCGGCGAACATTGCTGCCACCAGCATGCTTGGCAGCATTGCCGCGCAGGATAATATGCAGCCTGGTCGTCCTCCCGCACGGGGCAGCCCATCAGTCGATAGTCAGATTATTCTCGCAGCTCGAGGCCGTCTTCGAAGAGCGTTGAAAGAAGGGTATGAGAATGTCTACGACCGATTCAACCGCGACGATGTCTTCGCGACCTCCTTAACCGGAGAGGGTTGCACTGCATTTGATGCGGCGCAGGAAGACTTGTATGCGTCACTGCAACTACCAGCACCCTCACGATCCGCAAAGCAGAGATCAAAAGGGAAATCGGTTGTCAGTGACTTGGATCGTCAAGACAGAGTTGATCTCGCCAAGCTCGCGTACATTCGATGCGGCGTCGACAACTTACATACCTGTTTCAAGCAAGGCCTTGACGAGAACTTTCTGATCAGCTACCGTCGTGAATTTCTATCTCTTCGACAATTTGCTGCCGTAATTGGCAACAGCCGAGACGAGATTAAAATTCAGGGTTTCATCCCGACCGAGGACGTATATGGCGATATTCATTCAATCCGCATTCCTCGTGGAGACACGATGGGCATTTACAAGATCTTGAGCGAGTTCGCGGAACACAATGAGGACCCCGCCAATGTACAGTATCAGCGCAACGCTACGCAGTCTGCGAATATGCAAGCGCGTGACAGAGGCCAATCTATTCAAAATTTACGCTTTATGAATTTGGAGCAACGCATGGCGACGCCATTGCCAAAGTTTGCCGATTGTGGGCAGGACATGACCTCCTACGAGGTTCATAGACTGGAACAACTTTTGTTGGAATTTGGGCAGCGCGAAGCACCTTCTCCACAAGTGCCTGTAACTAGGCCACCATTGACTCGAAAGCGATCGCAATCGTACATCGAGGGCGTTGCCGACGGTGACAAGCGACCAAGATTGCAGTGGAGGAAGAAGGAGGAACGCGGCCAGTCCGGCCGCATCGCGTCATGGGTTGACGAGAGAGTTCCCCCACCAGGAGTGCCTCGTCCACCTGCTCCCGTAACTGGGACGCATACATCATCGGTGTACAGGCTACCTCATCCTCATGGTCGAGAAGAAGCTTCACCAAAGGAAGACTTCCCTAAAAGGAATGTCAGTGCGGAGCAGAGCATTGCAGCCAAAGGAAAAGGCCAGGGCAGTTCCCCTATCAAAGGAACGAATGCTCCCCTAAAAGGGACGCCACGCGGTTCAGTCGCCCGTGCAATGCCAAGTCGTGGCAACATTCCAAAAGACCTGTTAGGTCCGCCACCTGCGCCAGTGAAGGCAGCCCCTTCACAGCCACCAGCAAAACCTTCACCACCGAAGGTTCCGCCGCCCAAGGTGCCTCCTCCGAAGGTTCCACCTCCAGATATTTCGAGCAATGTCAGCGGTATTCCGGCAAACACTCGGCCGCCAGATTTTAATTTGACACCGAAGCCGCCGCCACTTGCAGATCTGTATAGCCGATTGCAACCTTCCGTAAAAGGAAAGGGCAAAAGCAAGCAGCAGGTGAGCCAACGAGGAGGACCTTATGATCCACAGCAATGGAATTTACAGAATGTGCCACCACCGCCGCTACCTACTCGAGCTCCTTCGGCAGCAGCACCATCATCCAATGCTCCCGTAGCTGGGCAGCCAACAGTGTATGGGACGGATGATCGACCATTGGAACCCTTTGACTTCCCTGGAATACAATGGCAACGCACAGACCCATGGGCTGAAAACTATTGGCCTAATCACATGGAACTCCGTCAGTGGATGCAACAGGGTTGGCACGATGAAACGGAGCGTTTTGGATATAAACATTATTGAAGCAACGTTGAACTGCTACCGTAAATGGTATGACAACAGCTTATGAGTGTTGAGGTAAAAATCACCTTCTGACGCGCTGTGAGATGATGTTTCACTTCATTGTCTCACTTCTTAATGCATCCCTAATAGGATTGCTGTAGTCGGAGAGTGAACTTTTAATCAATACTCTATCTAAGTCTGGGTCAAGCATGTTTAACCACATGCCGAGTGAGCCGCAAGGTTGTACATTAGGGTAGCTACGTTCTCCATGTATAGTGCATGCACGAGCTTGATGAGGGATTTCTAATATGATTCCTTCGTCGCTAGAATTCGATCCTCCCCGAGATTTTCCCTACGGATAGCTCCTTGTAAAGGGGGGTGTTGAAATTCCTCTCACCCCTATGGACCCCGTAGCGTGTACTCTCAAGGGTAGAGTAAAAAGGACGCTTAACGGCTAGACAGGGTTAGTTAGGAAACCAAGCTGATCCTGTAAAATACATAAAGAAGCCCCTGCTTAGCCAATTTGTTTCTAGCCAATTTGTTTCAATAGGAAGGACGTTTGCTGTAACCATTCCACATAGATTCCTACAATCACCATTGCTGACAAGCAGACCGTTAGTTTCTTGATTCCTTTTCATGTGTGCCCTGTTACCAAGATACGGTGGGGCCTTGATTGGGCAACCCGCCTACAAGATGCGGTGAGTGGAAAGGAGATGGCAGCATTTGTTGTGACAACGTGCATTGGCCAAGAAATCCCTTGGAAAGAACATGGTCAAGTGGGCGAGCTGGCACACATACCGGCGCCTCACGATTTCCCACTGAAGATCATCGAGGCAGGGTAATTCAGGGGTACGCATGGCGTCCATATTGAGCATCAGCTGTGTGAGGAGCATGATTCCATCCTACATTGAGCATCAGCTGTGTGAGGAGCATGATTCCATCCTACATTGGGTTTCTTGCTCACGGGCTTCCTTTTTTGTTTGAGGGAATCACTTGTGAAGAAGACATTCATACAATTTGGGAGCAAACATTGCCTCAACCACAAGACCCGAAGCAATTCGCAGAGACAGGTGAATGGTGAACCAACCAGTGAACTAAGTGGCAATGGTGAAGACGAAGAATTTTCCGAGGCCGTCAGACGTGGTTCGGTCAGAGTCATTAGTCAATGTTTGTGAATGTCAGGAAGAATACTTGAAGGGCAAACAAAAGACATATATACTGCTGCATCCTATTCTCTTATTCTTAATGTGTACCCTTTGGTAGACCATTGCTCGCCCAGTTCAGGCTGCCACCAGCGACTCTGGTGAGCTGTCGACCGTCGCGCCAGTGATCGTGCCGGTGGCTTTGATGCAATCATGTCCCACGACCCACCGTGTGGCCCCGGCAAGGAGCCGGTGAGGCAGAGCTAGGATGCCAACTTTTGCAGTCGCTGGTCATCATCCATCAAAGACAGTAGCTTAATCATCGCGTGAAAGGGGGCGGGCAGGGTGTGCTATGGTGATCCAGTTCTGCGCCTGAAAAATCCATTGCCGGCCGCTTCACTTATGGGTTTGTACGGTTTGTGTTGTTCCTCTTGCAAAAAACTGTTCGTGAATCTCAGAGCTTGTGTTTATTACTGGTACAAAAAAGCAGGGTTTCTTCAATGCGACTCGATATTCACGTCGCTTCGCGACGGTAACCGCCCGCACCGCATGGGAGGGCTCAAAGACTGCGGTCATGCTCCAGGAACGGGTCAAGGTAGGTACTTCCATTGAACATAGCCCCAGAAGTCACCCCCCCCCAACGTGGCCGAACATAGATTCCATATTGCCTAACATAACGCTAGAATGTGGGAACGTCGCAAACTGGTGTATCTTTTCCGCAGGTAGCTCGAGACGTTCGCCGGATATTTGGCTCAACAGGAGCAGAGATAAGGAACGGTAACATTTTCTAACGAGGGCTCAAAAGGGACTGGAATAAAGTAAAGATATTGCCTAACATAGCTCTAAAAGTCACTATCTAAAGAACGTGTCTGCGAGATAGGGACGTGAACGTCGTAAACATAGCCCAACGAGGGCTCAAAAGGGACTGGAATAAAGACCCCCCTAACGTGACCAAACATATATAGCTTCCATATTTCCAGGAACGGTAACATTTTCTCACGAGCATAGCTTGCATATGGTCGAACATAGCCCCAGAAGTCACTATCTCAAGCATGCTTCCTCGAGATAGGGACTTGAACGAGGGCTCAAAATGGACTGGAATAAATTCAAGATTGCCTAACATGGCCCTAGAAGTCACTATGGTCACGGAACAGGTGCCGTTGGTAGAGTTCCTTGGAGTCAGAGTGCTTTTTCAAGTAATCGTGGTTGTGGGGTTAAAAGACTGCAGCCATTTTGCGGGTCGGGTATAGTGGTTAGAGAGCTTCCGGAAGTGACACGATCTGGAACAGGTTCTTGTGCTCTTGGAGCCAAGGGAGTCAGTATGAAAGGAATATAGCAGATTATCACATGTTCGGACACATGCAATGGAAACAGCGTTGGGTAGTGTAAGGTTGATCTTGGTAGAAGCTGGACACGAAACAGGTGTAGGTTGTAGAGTTCGTTTTAGTCACAGTGCTTCTTCAAGCAATCTTGGGCTCAAAGACTGCAGCCATGTTGGAATGGGTCTCATCAGGGCAGGGGATGACGCTGCAGATCGGGTTAATGCTCTGTATTCGGTAGTCAGAGTGCCTTTTCAAGCAATCGTGGCTGTTGAAGGGCCTGCCACCACTGCCAGGGCAGCATAGCACAGTGCTCGGTGCAATGCGCAAATGAAGCCTTTGGCTTTGATTCGGAGCAACAGGTCATGTTTTGCATGTGCGAAAGGTCGACGCTGTGGCTGTTGAATTGTAGATGGTTTGATCCCGTTGAATACCGCCCAAGCTCCCCTGGGCGGAGCTCGATTGTGCTACCTGACAAAACGCGCAGCTATACGACAGGTGTGGCCACATGTGCACCTACCTGAAGCTATCTTGGACTATGTTGGGGGCAAATGAGACGTATTTTTAATTTATTCCAGTCCATTTCGAGCCCTCGTGGGGCCATGTTTGCGACGTTCAAGTCCCTATTTCGAGAAAACACTATTTTCGACAATATGGAAGCTATGCCCGTTCAAGTCCCCATGACTTCTAGGGGTATGTTAGGCAATATCTTTACTTTATTCCAGTCCCTTTTGAGCCCTCGTTGGGCCATGTTTACGACGTTGAAGTCCCTATCTGGAAGCTATGCTCGCGAGAAAATGTTACCGTTCCTGGACCTGATCTCTGCTTATCTCTGGTTGTGTGGAGCCAAATATCCGGACATTCAAGTCCCTATCTCGCGGACACGTCCTCTAGATAGTGACTTCTAAAGCTACGTTAGGCAATATGGAAGCTATGTTCGATCACGTTGGGGGGGGGCTTTATTCCAGTCCCTTTTGAGCCCTCGTTGGGCTATGTTTACGACGTTCAAGTCCCTATCTCGTGGACACGTCCTTTAGATAGTGACTTCTAGGGCTATGTTAGACAATCTCTTCACTTTATTCCAGTCCCTTTTGAGCCCTCGTTGGGCCATGTTTTGCGTTCAAGTCCCTATCTCGCAGACACGTCCGTTGGATAGTGACTTCTAGGGCTATGTTAGGCAATATGGAAGCTATGTTGAGCCACGTTAGGGGAGCCTGTTCAGCCAAATGTCCGGCCTCAGTCCAATTACACTTTACCGCTCAGATGATTCAAACCATGCAAAGGAAGAAAATGGCATTTCTTGTATCACCAGGGGCTTCAAAATAGCACGAATTCATCTTCCAGCATTTTAAGCCGGTTCCAAAAACGTGAAAAACACACGATTCTAGAGCGAAAATGCGCCCCCCTAGCTAAAGCTATTGGCTTGCATACGCTAGCTTACGTATAGCGCGTGCTCTAAAAAAACGCCTCGACACCTTCAGTGCGGGCGGATTTTTGTTGTGAACCTATTGGGCTGATCTCAAAGAATAGCCGAATAGACCTTTGTTCTTTGTTGAAGAGTTTCCGCTAATTCCCATGGGTTCAGATTCATTTTAATTCCATGAGGGATCTCCTTGCGTCATGCGTTTGCCCCAGGCGCGGAAACGGTGGGCAGATATCCGGGATGATGATGATGACAGTGAGGGCATCGTGGCCAAAACGTGGGACTGAGGGTCCGTGTAAGGGCAATGGAAAAGATGGGTGAAGGAGTGGATCGGGATTGGGATTTTGCGGAGAATCCAACAATTCCAACTCAAAGTGGATGGAGCAGGAAGGCCTCACTTCCAGGCAAGCGTTGGTCTGCAAAAATTCAGATGGGTCCCAAAGTCAGCGAGGCAGCTGCAACTTTTTAAATCTCAGGTTCAACACCCAGTGAATCATAGACGGTTTGGAGGGTGAGCAACAGAATGCCTTTCCGATATATAAGTTCACACTACCTACCGCTAGCGTCTCATCTACGAATGACTTTCTTTTCTTTGGTGTTACCAAACCGAGTTGTTCTCTTAAAAGACAGAGCTTGGCCATGGTGCTTCCCAACTTGGACAGTTTGGTTGGAACAGTTGGTCTTTCCACGTTCGTAAAGGGGAGACATTTTTCAACTGTTAGCTTCAGTCTTGTTTGGGGGTGCTGACTGTAGTGACTCTTAGGCAGACGTGTCTCAGCCATGGACTTACAGCTCCTTCCAAGCAAGGAGAGGAACAATGGTGAGCAAGCTGCTGGCGTGCAAGCATCTTTGCTGCAGCGGGTGTGCAGGGAACAGGGCACCACAAAGCGCAAGAGGATCTTCCACGAGCCTCCGGTACGGTGTGTGTGTGTGTGTGCCCCTGGTAATCACAGGTATTCCGTTGAATTGTTTCTTCTTTTTCAGCAGGGGGACCGGAGAGGAGCGGTGGCCAACGAAGACCTCCTCTGGGGTCCGTGCAAACGTACCTGCCAAGCTGGTTACCTGTTGTTCTCGCTGTGGTTTGCTTTCATGGTGGTTCATGTGGTTTTGTTACTAATCGCTACTCGCGTTTCGTGTTTTGAGTCTTGCTGGCCTCCAACCTTGCAGTAAGGGCCTCCACTTACTGACACCTGTCCTGGTTCCTTAGGTTTTTCACTCAGGCCGGCGTGTGGCACCGCTGTCGAGTCAGTACGCATATCCATAAGTGTGGTTGGCCTCGTGCCAACCCGGGATGAGCCCGTAGAGTGCCTCCCGTGGACCCGTCGAACGGGTGTCTGTCCATGTTCCCCGGCTTTGGGAACGTAGGTGTCCGGAGCGGACAGCAGATGGCTTATGCCACAAGAAGTGGGATTTTTGTTTCATCTTTGGAATTCCAAGTTGGCACATGCCTTTACGTGACCGCAGCGGTCAAAGCAGCCAACCACTTTGGCAGGGCGCAAGGTGACCAGAGCGGCCAAAGCAAGCTTAAGGTTCATTGGAACCTGTCGCGAGCTTAGTCCCCCTTCCCCTCCCCTTTCTTTCTTTGCTTTTTGGTGCTTTCTGAATGGAATACTCAGGATCACCCCTTTCTTTCTGTGGTGTGTCCCTGGACGATTGTTCGTAGCTTTCTTTTCTTTCCCTTTCTCTCCCTCTCTCTTTCTTTCTCTTTCTTTCCTCTCTTCACCTTCCTTCCTCCTTGGGTGTCCATGGATGCTTTTGTCATAGCTGGAACCCTTCTCCTCTTTTCCTTTGGTGTGTCCTTGGACGCATGCGTCGTAGCTGGGAACACCTTCCTTTCTTCTCTTTCCTTTTTCTCGTCTCGTGATGCATTTGCCTTATGCATTTTCTGCAACATACCTTGTAAAGACCATGTAAAACTCAACCAGTATGAAAAATGTAAGACCACTGCAAGTGTGGAAAAGGAGGGTGGTGGAGGGTTTCTTTTTCTTGTGCATTTTTCCTTCAACTGCTAACTATGGTGTTCCATGAATGACTGGGCATTCTCCGTCTGTTTGCTTGTATCTTGAACGCTTCTTTTCTACCAAGTGTGTTGCGGCAAGCCGACACCGTCGGTGTTTATGCCTAGATTGTTGTATTCGCACCTGGCATATGTCCGCTTGGCCAAGCGAAGGAGAGTTGGAGCCGCAAAGGGTTCGGTTCCACCTCTTCGGGGCAAAGGTTCGTCGCATTACCTGCCTTCCTCAGCTCGAGGTCTTAGTAGCGTCCTTGCTCCTAGTAGTACGGCCAGGAGCCCCTAGTAGCAACAACAGGTGGTTGTCCCTTCTCAAGTGCACAAATCGTGTGTAGAAGGAAACGCCGTGCAAACAACGACCCCATCGGACGCATCTTTCATGCAACGACCCCCTATAAAATAGTTGCTTGTCATAGTAGATATGGGATTGTATTTGTATATATTTATCCCCAGATAGCGAAGCTATGGGGTTCTTACTTCAAATAACAATGAGTTGCCAGTGCGCGCTTTCGGGTTGCTGGTGCTGGTGCTGGGTGCCGGCGCTGGTGCACGTGGTGGAGACATGCTGGTGCTGGTGCCGGGTGCTGGTGCTGGGTGTTCCGGCGCCGGGTGCTGGTGCTGAGCGCAGGGCGCCGTGCGGTGGGTGTGCGCGTGGTGGAGACAGGTTGCTGGTGCCGGTGCTGGTGCTGGGTGCCGGGTGCCTGGTGCTGGTGCTGGCTGTGCACGTGGTGGAGACATGCTGGTGCTGGGTGCGGGTGCCGGTGCTGGTGCTGTGAGCTGGCTGTGCACGTGGTGGAGACAGGTTGCTGGTGGTGGTGTTGGGCGCCGGGTGCCGGCTGGTGCTGGCGTTGGTGCTGTGAGCTGGCTGTGCATGTGGTGGAGACAGGGTGCCGGTGCTGGGTGCGGTGCGGGCTGACTGGTGCTGTGAGCTGGCTGTGCGCGTGGGAGAGAGGGTGCCGGGTGCCGGCGCTGGTGCTGGTGTTGTGAGCTGGCTGTGCGGCTGTGGTGCTGGCGATGGGTCCGTGAGGTGGCAGTGCGCGTGGTGGAGACTGGGTGCCGGTGCCAGGCGCTGGCTGTGCACGTGGTGGAGACAGGGTGCCGGGTGCTGAGTGCCACCGACCAACCGCCGCTTCTGACAGTGTCAGTGAAGCGCCAGCAGTCATGGGCCACATGAACTTATGCACGCAATATCATAGGGTGTTGTCGCTTGAGCGTTCTTTGTCTATGAGAGCTGTGGGGTATTTACACTCTTCAGGTTTTGTTTTGGCGGACGGCTGTGTCAAGGGCTGTACTGTTTGCGCGCATACTTTTGTTCGCGTAATGTTCTATGCGCAACGTCAGGCTCTCAACCGACCATTGTTTCAGCATGTTTCAGCCTGCTACACACAAAATAGTCGTGCTGGATACTGCTTGGCCTTGGGCGAGTGAAGCCTACGGGCTTTGCCGTTTGTGCGCATTCTTTTGTGCGCATAAACTTATACGCGCAAGATCATACGGCCTGATCGTTCTGAAGATCGTTGCTTCAAGCATGCTACAAAGGCAATCGTGGCGCTGGATACTGCTTGGCCTTGGGCCAATGACACTTACGGGCTTTGCTGTTTGCGCGCATACTTTTGTGCGCATAAACTTATACGCGCAAGATCACACTAGGGATAGCTATGGGGTTCCTACTGCAAATAGGAATGAGCTGGGCGTGCGCCTTCGAAGGGGTGTCGGTGCCGGTGCTGGTGTTGTGGTCCTGGGTGCTGGTGGCTGAGCGCGCGTTTAAGACGGGTGGCGGTGCTGGTCGGGTGCTGGTGCCGCCGCCGGTGTTGTCAGCTGGCAAAGCGCACCGGTGCTGGTGTCGGCTGGCTGCGCGCGCTGTGGAGGCGCCGTAAGCTGGCTGGCTGTGCGTGCAGGCTGTGTACATTCTTGTTCCAGCCAGTCGCATGTCAACAGGTCGTGGGATGCTGCCTAGCTATCTGGGTCTATGCTGGTTTAATTTGGTTTTGTGCAGTATGTCCATCAAACTGAACCCTTCGGCGTGTTTCTCACCAGCTCTCAGAACGCCCATAAGCCGTGGACCACCGAACAGGGGCCGTGTGACCATTGATCGCAACTGTTCACCTGGACGGGGCACTACAATCGCAACGATTCGCACCGTTTCGTGTCACCTTGGAACCCATTTCGGCATCTGGCAAAAGAATCAGGTTTTGATTGCAAACTTTAGCCTGCAAGCTTGGATGGAAGTTTGCCACTCTGGAACCAGGTTTTGACCACAATTATTCGCCTTGAACTCTGGAGCTTGGAGCTCGAATGCAACTTTTTGCCCAATGAATCTTGGAAGTGCCAGGCACTCTGGAGCTGAAACTAAAGGTGGTTTATCGGGGTTTCAGGTGTGTTTCAAAGAAAACGGTATCAACAGATTCTTAAGGGTCATCCAGTGGAAGGCCCTTTGCTATGCAGCGTCATGCAGCGTCATGCGTGGTGCTGAGATGTGCTGAGGCTGTAGGCGACACGCCAGCAGGTGGGGGGCCTGAGATCCGGGAGTGTGGAAACAGGAGTTTTTCTTCGCCAGGCTGTGGAGAGAAGGGAAAGGGTCGTTGTTTGCTCGCTGGATGAAGCTCAAAGCAAAGTTCTTGTAGTGTTAGCCGTCACAGGTTTCAACCACTTTGTGTAGGAGTTTGCCAGACAAACCTTCTCCCTTTGCTTTTGTGCAAGCCATTGCAACGGTACTCTGTTGAGAGATGTCATAGTATCATGTCATATTACAGTATTATGATGATGCTTCTTGGTGTAGAGTTCACCCAGTTCCGGTACCCGCAAGACAAGACACAACATATGGACACAGCGCAGTTTCTTGGTTTCATCTTGATAGTTACCTTAGTGTTTGGTCTGGGATTTTCATAGAAGTTTGGTTGGTGAGATATAACTGATTGCTGCCGGTGATGCCAACCAAGGATCAGATGAGGCGGCTCTCAGCACGAGAGTCGCCAACACTGAAGACTGGGGGGTGTAAGAGATGCCCTGAGGGCCGAGTTCAAAGCCACGCCAATCCCCAGTACCTTAAAGGAACTTCACAGCGACGTCTTAAGACATTCGGCCTTTTTTTCAGAGATCACTTTAAAGGTCCCGGCAAAGGTATTGAGAGCTACTTATGTACCCGATCGAAGACCCCTCATCATGGTCATCTCCGAATCTCGGACATCGGACATTTGCTGGTCGCAAATGCGGATGGTAGTTCTGCGCCCTGCGCCCATTGCTGGGTTCTAGCGTGAGCTCAACTAAATCACTTGCATGATTCCGGAGAGTGCTGTGGACAACCCTCGAATTTGTCCAAGCAATGGTTGCACTCAACACCTTGCTATGGTGTTTGTGTTGCTATCCCCAACTCCAAAAACACACCCCTGTATGCAACTCATGGTTTCAACATGTTTCAACAAGCAGCCTCAGACGCTAGCCGTGGCTGCCCTTGCCCAAAAAGCTGGGCTGGTGTGGGGTCTCCAAGACCAGACGTAAGTCAACATATGGGGTGATTTAACATTGTTTTACTTCAAGCTGTCCCTGCCATACCTGTTGGGTGGACAAGTTGATGTGTCAAATGGTGGCCTTTTCTGACCAAGATATGGCTGGCTTGAGAGCTCCGCGCTCACGGTGTTGATTTGGCCCCCCCTTCCTGGGCTGAGAGGCTCTGGGAGATGGCAAACAGCAAGTCCTCCCCAGGCCGTTTCCAGGCCAGATTCTGAAATTTGAGATGTGCAACTTTCCTAAGGCGGCCCACACCCTGTGTGGGTCGCCAACACTGAAGACTGGGCGTCCTTTGAGATGCTGCCCGCCAGTGCAGAATTGGCGGCGGGGGCTGAGTTCAGAGCCGATGAAATGTTGCATCGATTCTTTGATGGCAGATCAAGGGCTCGAGAGCTCAGTGCCCATGGCATTTACTTAGGCATTGTGTTGTAGTTAAGCACATGAACCCGACTGAGTGCGCATTTTCACCATGAAAACGTCATTTGTAGTATCGGTATCGTTAGGACAAACTCCATCCTTTTATGCAGCAAGCCCCTCAAATGGAACAGGTGGATGGCGCACTACCACTTTGGACCACCTGCCTCAATGCAGGTGTTCCGCACAGACACAGCCATTGAGAAGTTTCACCTTTAGATTTGCAGCAGATCCGACAGAGCAAGAAGCGAGAAGGGCATAGAAGGGCTACGATCGTTCTAAAGTTTCAGATTATTCAAACATATTTTAACATGTCGCAGAAGAACTATGTCTGCGCAAGTGGGCCCCCTGTTTAGTTTGACTTGCAGAAACAACAACGGGGAGATCACACCAGCATCAGTGAAGGATGGGGGTAAGCGTAGTAAACAGAGCTCCACTTTCATTTCAGCAGCTAGCACCTGTCAGAAGTGTGGTTGGCACACCAACAGCATTTTGTCTCCGGAGTAATTTGCATTTTCCTTTGGTGGACGTTGAGCAATTGTGTCCGCTCAAAAATCAAGTTTCCGCACAAGTAGGGCGATAACTATGAGTCTGTAAGCCAATTAATTACTGGCATTCTTCGGGTGTGGCTGCACTCAGCTTAGCAACTTGTAGTCCTGTGAGACATCTGCCTCGTGGTACTGTGCGTTGCGTGTCGAAGAAAGTGAGTGTAGCACTTGCCCCTGCATGCTGACGTTTGAGCACGAGAAACACATGCGCAACAATTGTCGACAAGAGTACTGCGTACAGTCTAAGATTTGGGAATTCGGACTTCGTGTGAATCCGCCACCATGAGGGTGCATTTGTGCAAACTGGAATTCGTGCAAAGGCATTCACAAGGTTGGACATGTTGAAATCCAACATTTTCAATGCATGTCCAATTCTGTGTATTGCAGAGCTTCCTCAGACACTCACACCTACCGCAGGTAGACCAGTGCGGCAGAGGGCCACAAAGGAGTGGCTCTGGTGGCTCTCCCAGTTCGGTGCAAACTTCACACACATTCACTGCACTCACCTAGATTTCCAGATGGTCAAATTTGGGTAGCTGTATTATGTATATATATATATATGGTAAATAAGTGGTCTTACCCTCTGAGAATGTTGGCTCTTCCCGATGCTCTTGGTTTGAGCAGCAGGCGAGAAACAAGGAAAGGACTGTGGCCCACTGTGGGTGTAATAGTTTTCTCAATTGGGCAGTGCAGCCGAAGAACCAGTCTTTACAAAGCTGGCCTTCCAGTAAACAAAAGAGATCATGTATTCTGTATTCTGATTCCCTTGTTCCAAACAAGCCTCTTTGACAAAGCGAGTGTGGCTCAAACTAAAAGCGGCTTTGCTTCACATCCGACGAACGACCAGGCCAGTTGCAAAGGGACCAGTCATGGGGCAAATTGTGGTTTTTGCCCAGGTGTTCTTTTCAGAAAGACTCTTATTGTTCAGCAACTTTCCAGGTTGCCCCAAGGAATCCATCGCCAGTCAGTGGTGCAGGTAACCGTAGCGTTCTTTGCTTTGTTTGCATTGTCCACCTACCTTCTACTAAGTCACATGCGGCCAACAATTTCACCCTTCTGCATGTAACTCATGTTCACCCGTCGCGCACTGAAGATCCATTCGAGAGGATCTGCTGCCATTGCCCCCTGTGAGGACGACCATGGCCTTGTACCCGACAGGAGGTGCCCCTCCTGTCGGGCTCCTGTCACTTGTGGACTGTTGGTGCACTGATTTCCAAAGGCCACAAATTCTTCAAGACCTGCTGTTGTTTCTCTGCTCTTAATGATATCCCCTCAGGTTGGACTTAGAACATTTTTCTGGAAGGGATGTAGTGTAGTTCCCTTGTGAAGAACCTTTCTTTCAACTTTTTCGTTCCGGAGACTGGACAAATTGCCACCCCGGACATTTTGGTGTGACTGACTCATGCAATCCTGGGCCAGAGTTTGAAAGCCATGTGGGGCTTTGACTTTTTTGTTGATGTATAGAACTGAACTGGAGTCAAAGCTGGTTCCCTACAGAACCATCATTTTGAACATCTATGAATCTATGAACATGTGCTCCCTGTTTTCCACGCCAGGTTTTGTTGTCTTTATCTGGATGCCTACAGGTGGCGGCTCGGGTCGGATGTGATAGAGTCATGTAAACGTCCCCATTCAAATTAAGCAGGAGGCATCCATCAGCAGGTAGCCCCTTTGTTTCCAAGACGCATTCATTAATTCAATTTGATGTATGTATATGTACATACACAGCCATGCCTACAAACACAGGCTTTTGTCCACGGTGGCAAACGTGATTGCGGAACATTGTTTCTTTAGTTTGTGTCGTGTTGGTCGATGATTGATCATGTTTGCTCAAGCCATTTTTTGAAGTAATCGGCGCACGTTCCTTTTTTCTCAGTCTCTCCTGAGGCGGTCTTGACGACCCACTGCACGGCGCAGAGCAGGTCTTGACCTAAGGTACATGAGTCACTTCTTGCGGACGCAGCCTGGCCCTTGAGGCCTGTGGTGCATTGGAGCAACCTGCTGCTGGATCCTCAGTAGCGTCATCTTCGATAGCTTCAAGCGACAGTTTTAGTTGGTGTCACCTGGTATGGCGTCATCTTCCGGTTCTTCCACCCTGCAAAACACTGCTGGGCTGGCTGGCTCGGTCTTCCTTCCCGCTCACCCAGCGAGGCGCGCAAAATTGCAGGATCCATTGGCGTCCGAGGTGATGAGCTTAGATTCAATTCTTGGAATCTTCGACCCTCAATATGCCCCTCAACGACCCCAGGCGACAGTTCGAGAAGCTCAACTGCCGCTGCAAAGTGTTGACATGTGTTGACCAAAATACTAATTACTAGCTGAACCGGACATCTCCATGTATTTCTCGAGATATCGCTGGCTCGGGAACTTAGGCCCCAAATGGATTAACCTTCGCATTGCAGAGATCGTCCACCTGGAGGCGTTGCGCTTGCTTTGATCGGGTCAGCACGCGATTTGTGCAACTTTGTACTTGGGTTTGCAAGCTTTGCAAGCTTTGCAGCATGCGCCGGTCAGACAAGCTCAATCTTGGGGTTCAAAGATCCCCCTCAACTTGGGCAATGCAGCAACCCCAAGCCCCGTAGGCGGAGGCGGTGCGCATCCTGCTCACAGCACTTCAGCGTGTGATCCTTACTGATGGGATCAGCTCCTTGGCAGTGATGGACCAAACCTCCAGCAGTGGCTCGTTGCAAAATCTGATCAGATGTGTTTAGGTCCCGTTCCATTTGCCTTGATGTGTTGTTTTCTCATGCTTTCTCCAGGCTGTGGCGCAGTTGGTCTAAATGTATGTGAGCTCACGGGTTAACTTGTTTGATACTATTGGGGTTGCGTGAGTTTCTTGAACATCTGGACACAAAAGATACTGTATGGTTTTTGCACAATGACAACTGAACAAGTCGGCATCCAACAGGTTTGTACCTTTTGGTGACACGTTCGACGTGTAACTTGCAACCAGTTTCTGAGATATAAAACAACTTGGTACATGGATTTTTGGCTGATAGCCACGGATTGCGTTTGGAGCAAAGCAACCTGAACAGCATGTTTACTAAGAGCCATGGCAGTGTGAAAGCAAGACAGCTTGGAACGTGCAAGCGCACCAGACTGGTCGCTTCACTGTTCGGTGGAGGATCCATCGAAGGCTCAGACGCCGACACCACGTCGTGAAGTGAATGTCTTTGTATACCTGTGCACAAGGCATTTAAACAGATCCCCACACAAGGGATATATTCTGTAGATAGAATCTCTGTGATCAGGGCTTTTATTTGCTTTTATCTTTTTGTTGAAACATGGCTTGGCTTGGGTCTCGAGGCACACTGGAAAAGAAGCAGATCGCGAAGGGCATTCGGGATCTTACCATCAGGTCAATTTGGTCCTGCTGGACTGACTACCGTGTCACATTGCTTTGTATCAGCACTGGTGGTTAGGGGTCGAACTCGGGGATCCATTGCTGGTGGAGTGGTTGAGTGGTAGGCTGTCTGATGTTTCAGCCCTGGCCCAGGGTTGTTGGCCCCGAAGCCAGAACCGCAAGCGAAGTCGAACGCAAATCCGCAGATTTGTTGGTCGCTGAACCAATCTAGAATCTGAACCGGCATCTGCAACTCCGCTTTTGCAGGAATTTCCAAGTCGAAGAGCGACTTTGGTACGGTCGCAAGAGCAAGACGCTTCCGGACCTTTTGGAAGAGTGCCCTGGCTTGCATTACATAACAGGAGTGGTTTAGAATAACAGAAGAGTACTTCAAGAGGGGATGTGGAGACTGAAATGGTCACCTCTGAAATCTTCCGACATGCTAAACGAGCTGAAAGAAGATTGTAAAGAAATAAACGAAGCTGTAGTCATTTTAAGCTGCCTCAGTGGCCGGGGATCGCCACAAATTGCCAGGTTGATCTTCGGGATGGCTCCCGTGATGCGCCAGGAACTCATTATGGAGGTATGGTGCATGTCTTGTACCGGGAAGAATACATCCTCCAGTATATAGAAAGCTAAAGCTTAATTGGTCATGCCACCCAGTTGCTCCTGCAGAAGCTATGAGAGTGTTTGAGATAGCTTGCAGAGAATTCCAAGATACTCTTGTTTCTGGATTTTCCCGTACAAGTCAAATCTACAAGTTCTGTCAGTCTGGCCTTAGTATTGTTTTGGACATTGGACACTCAGGCTGGTTTGATTTACCCCAAACACGAAGCTTGTTGACGCACTTATCAAATTGGAGATATAACATGCAACAAGACAAGTGAGCGCCACGATGATACATATTGCAGCTAGAGTCGTCGTAGCTTAAGCGGTTCAAACGCCTAACATGTATAGAGGGTACTGCATTTCTTGACCAGATGCGATTCCCACATGATCTGCAAATATCTGCAAGTGGCGTCAAATGGCTGACTCCTGCATCCTGCATGTTTTGCTTTCCCTGTTCCATTTTAGGCTCTCTGCCTGCCCTCAAATGTTTTGGTACTTGCATATGGGTACAGTAATTAGCAGTTGAATGGAAAGACGAGATAATGACCAGTTGGCTTCAATTTGTGCCTGGTCTCTTTTTTGGATGGCCATGCTATCCAGGTGAATTACGACAATGCCAATTGCCGAAACTACTCTGTGGCCTGGGAAAGGCTGGTGGACTCGGAGAGGGCAGATTTGTTTGGAAAGATTGGAGCAAACACATTAACAACATGTAACACTATATATGCATATACAGTTACACACTATATATATATACTGTAGTTACTGTAGGTATAATTACACCAACATATAGGAAGTAGAAGACTCACAACCCAAAGCCAAGCTTGAGTAGCCAGCTCCCTGACTGAACTTTGCGGCTCGTTTGCCAGGCTTTAAAAGATTTGCTCGCAACTTGGACTGACACAACCCAAACAAGCGCTGCTTTCTAGGTGCCGCGCTGACTCCTGATCAACTGCAAGCTTTTGTGCATGACAGCATCCTAGGATGGGCGTACTCTTCACCTCCACCCCATAATGCAGGCCGGATTCAAGGGAATTTTCTGGTTGAATGGTTGAAGGCCCACACAACCCTCCCATGACAACGCCAGAAAACTTCACCAACCTGAGCTTGTCTTTTGCTCACTCGATGGCAGGGTGACGTTTGCAGATTCGCCAAGACCAAGGTGGGTACTTGTTTACGCGGCCATAATGATCAAGTGGCCGTGGCTCATGTGAAGTTCATAACCACCACGAGTTCATGGGATACACGCTCCCAAGTGGGTCTCTATGACAGGCAAATTGATCTTTAGTACCATCTCCGTGGTGCTCACTGCATCTCCGTGGTTTGGCCAGGAGCTTGCCTTGCGAAAGAAGGCTCTCCTCCTCCAGCGAGTGATGAAGTGGGATGCCACCCATTGCTCCCCGGTCGAGTGACAGTGATCGTTCTTTTTTGGGCCCGCTTGGCTCTTCTCTTTTTCTTTTTTTGGTGCAACAGCTGGTCCATGACGGCCAGAGGTTGCGAGCCATAATGTTGCTTGATAGAGTGAGCACGGGGAGGTGGGTGGGCGACAGGACAAGTCTCAGGCATCGTCCAGAACTGATGTTAAGGAGTTGAAGCGAGTGTGTTGATCGGAGTTTCCAAGTTAAATGTCAACAACAATAACAGGGAAGCCCTTCGGACATATCCTAATCCAAGCAACTAGACTAGCTCACGGATAAAGGCACTCAACCATTTGTTTCAGGGTGGCCCCAAGAAAATCAACCCAGACCAAAACCACAAGGGTTCCTTTTTGTGCAATTCTAGCTTTCTAGGGTCTTCGACCGAGGTGAGCCTTCCATTTGCAAGAAGACCATAATACACAAGCTGCACGGGCCCCAGGTGTTGAGCAAGGCCCCAACATGTTTTTCCTCCATAAATTCTTTTGATCATTTAAGAAAAACAACTTGTGCAGGGTGTTCAAACTTCTTGCTGCCCATTGCTTAATTTGTTATCAATGTCTTGATTGGACTTGTCTTTCTTTCTCAATTGGCATGTTGTTGCGCACTTTTTCTGTGAGCAGCAAACTCGCGGTTGGGGACTTCAAGCATGACCGAACAGTTGCTAACTTCTGGCCATTGGCTCAAGTGCCTGTGTGTGAACCCTGCGCCTTTCCCGTGTCTTAGGAGGTCGCCATGACCAAGGTGGGATGTGACACATGTGGCCAAGCGTCCCGGCCCAGAGAGGAAACCGAGGCCACGAGGCCTCCAAAGGAAGGATTGCAGAAGCGCCGAGCGATGTTCCGAAGCAAAGAATCTGGCGCCTTGTGCTTGCACTGTGAGGCCGGTCTATGTGTTTATACTGTATGTATTTGTATGCCGTGTAAACACGTACACCCAGGCACGTGGTGGATTTGGGGTTGTTTGCTTTTTGTTTTTTCCAAGCAGTGGAGTAGTTACTCATTGATTCTCCAATCATTGAACCTTGTCTAGGGTGTTTGATGTTTTTGTGTAATCATATATATGATATAATATATAATACAATATATATATATATAATGTGATATGTAATATCTAATATATAAAGTAATGTAAGGTAAGGTAAGGCAATGTAATGTAATACAATATCACGAAAGCCAGCCGATAGGCAAGGCTTGAGGCAGGGAAGCGAACGAAGTGAGTTAAAGGGGGTGTGTGGGGGGTGGTCGCGAGGTGGCCAATTTCGGAGAGGTGAACCCAGAGCCTGGTGGGGGAGAGCGAAAAAAAAGAGGTGGCCACTTGGTAGTGAAAAATGAGTGGTTTTGGGGGTGTTGTGATGCCGGTGATGTAATTGACGGCCAGTAGTGCATCATCAGCATCACGAGGGGCTCAGGAGGCAATGTAAACCGTTTTCTACCAGGGGTGGGAGTTCATGTCAATGATAGGAAAGAAAGATGGGACAGCGGGACGCGAAAAGTGGTTGGAACTCCTCTAGAAAAGGGAGATGCGCGCCTCTCATGGCCAGTGAAGTGGTGTGAAAGGGAGGCGTGTGTCTCTTAAGACATTGTGTGACCTGTGAGGAACCAGAATGCTGTGGGGAAGGTGGAAGACAGGCATAGCGTGGGAGGACATGTTGCAAGAAATGTTAGAGTTGCTTGGGGTGCCCTTTTCAACGGTGAAGACGCCGGTCAACTATACGCAAAAGGGCGCCCCATATCCCCATATGGGGTGCGAGTTCATGAATGCCGTGGTCCGTTGAGGGCAGGAAAGAGAACAAAATGCAGCGGGCAAGCTTTGAATTGCTTGGGGGTGCCCTTTTTTATCGGTGAAGAGGTCTAGTTGCCGGACTTAAAGGGCACCGCATATGGGGTGGGAGTTCATGTGGACGAGACAGGCGTAGTGGAGGAGGACGTGATAGGAAAGAGGGATTGCAAGAAACGATGTGACCCATTCATTAAGAGGGAGGGAACAGAATGCAGTGGGCAAGCTTTGAGTTGCTTGGAGGTGCCCTTTTTTTTTATGGTGAAGAGGCCTGTTGACCAGACGCAAAAGGGCACCCCATATGGAGTGGGAGTTCATGTGCAAAATAAGCATAGCGGGGGAGGAGGTGATAGGAAAAGAGGTGGGGAGCTCACCAGGGCTCTCGCACTCACCCCCCATAACCATATTGATATTTTTTACGGTAGCTGGCTTTCGTCCTCTCCCTTCTCAGGTACGAACATATTATACAATACAATGCAGTATAATGTAGTATATACATCCGTATATATATATATATATATGAATACATACACCCACACACGCCTTATCAATAGATCATGTTGACCTGCGCCTGCGCACTTTCCGTC